TTTATCTTAATTTGTAGACTTCAGTGTCTAACAAAGAGGTCCAGGACCACAGCACAAAGGAGGTAAACAATGAGTGTCGTTGTCAGAGCATGGCGTCTGTTCTCCTCGGAACACTACTTTCAGTTCAACAAACATCATCGGCCACTTGTGCTGTGAGCCAGGTACTGTTAGGAGCTAAAGATGCAAGAGGGAAAAACACAGACTTGGTGCCTATTTTCCTGGGGGCCACACAATCTAGCACTTCCTGAACACGTTTTCAAATTCCCCTCCTGAAATTCACGCCACAATTATAATTCTTCAACCTCATCAAATAATCCATTGATCCATCAACCCACTCCTAGCCTATCCAGGGCTTCATCGTGACAGTCCCTCCCTTCTGAACAAGACCTGGGTGAGTCCTTCCATCTGCCTCCTACTTGCACCACAAGAGCCAAGTATTCCTAGAAGAAAATCACACAACTGAGCTGGTTGAATGATTGTAAACCTTGAAAGGACCCAATGTTATCAGCAACACTCTGATAGGCTTGCTGTTCTTTGACCCGCATCAGCTATTCTATATATTCAACTATCCCACGTCCCTTTTCTGTTCTTTCCATGGTTCACTGAGAAAATTGAAGCCATTCTCCGTTAACTCCCTCTCCCCTACACCAACCAGTCAACCATGCCTTCATCTATACTCATTCCTCCTCCTGTAAGCTGAGTCTCTCTACCTGAGCCCTTCAGTCTGTCTCCTTTATCTTAGAGATTTTGAACCTTTGCTGATTCTTCTAAATTGTCAGTCTCATCATCTATTCTGTAGGAGAAGCAGATGACATCAGATGAGATGGTTGAATGGCATCACCGACTCAATGGACATGAGTTTGAGCATACTCCGGGAGATGGTGAAGGACAGGGAAGCCTGGCATGCTGCAGTCCCTGGGATGGCAGAGTTGCACATGACTTGGTGACTGAATAACACCTATTCTGGATCCTTCAAGCCACCTTTGATTCTACATATACAGAATCAAATAGCACTTTCTGCTACACTCCTCCCACTGCCCTCAACTTCTAATTGTTTGTGTTCCTGGAGGCTTTGGGGGGCTCTTCACATTCTCCCAGTGCCTTGAAATAACATCTATAGGCTGATGGCTCCAAAATGTGTAGTTAGAAGTCAGATTCTCCCACAAACCCCAAGCTACAAAATTTATCTGCCTACCTGCCATCTCCACTTAAGCATCTTGCACCTCACTTTGACATGTTACAAACAACTTTTTAGTTGTCTACACACACCTCAGCGTCTCACCCGCCCCCAGACTTTCTGATTGCTGCTGGTGTTGGCACTGTTTACTCCACTGCTCCAGTCAGGAACCTAGGAGTCATCCGTCCTTGCTGTGTGCACCTTCCCCCAGTACGTCCACAGTCAGTCCATTAGAAGCCCCATCAATCCTGCCTCCAAACACTCACCTGCACCTGAGGTGTGCCTCCACCAGCTACCATAATCTTAGGCATCACCCTCTTTGTATGAAATATACTGACCTCCCTGCATTCACTATTGGTCCTTTTTCAAGCTAGACTCCCCACAGCTGCAAAATTGGTCATGTCATCCCTCTGTTTAGAACCTTTGAAATGATTTCTCACTGCACTTTTGGATAATGTTCAAACTCTATGTCGTTGTCTACAAGGGTTCTGCACAATCTTATCTTTCCAGGCCCCTGTTCCCCTCACGCCACAAAACAATAAATAAAAATTTAAGGAAACCCATCAGTACAATTCACCATGTTAATGAAGAATAAAAACTACATGTGGGGCCAGAAAATAAGAAAATTGCACTTGATAAATTCCAGATCCAACCAATAAGAATAGAAGGCAACTACCTCAAACTGGTAAAGGTTATCTACAAAAACCTGCAGCCAACATTATTTCTAAAGGCAACACACTGAAATGTTTCACTTTGAGATAAAGAGAAGGATTCCTACACTCAACTCCTCAGCCTTAGCCAATCAGTGCTGTCAGGAAAGGAAAGGAAGTGAAAGCTACATGGATTGGAAATGATGGTCTAAAACGGCCATTATCCATAGATGATTTGAGTGTGAACTCAGGAAATCCAAAAGACTCTATAAAGGATGTATTGGAATTAATGTGTTAAGCAAAGTTACTAGAGACAAGTTCAATATATAAAAATCAATTCCATCTCTATACCAGTGATAAACAAAATTGTAAATTTTATGTAAATATTAAATTCCTATGCTGCCATAAAAAAATCATCCCAAGGTTTGTGGCCTAAAACCACACAAATTATTATCTTACTGTCCTGTGGGTCAGAAGTCTTGTACAGGTGTAATGACTGAGATCAGGATGTCAGCAGGACTGATTTCTTGTCTGGAGGCTCTTGGAGGGGGTCTGGCTCCTGCTCCTCTGGCTCATTGAAAGAATACAGTTCTTGGTGGTGGTGGAGCTGTTTCCCTACTGGCTGTAAGCTAAAGGCTTAGACCATAACCACAGTCTCCAGGTAGGCAGTGTGGTGTGCTGGTTAAGCACAGGGCCCAGACAGCTACAGTTACTAGCTATGTAGATGCAAGATATGAATGAATCATGCCTCCCTTCCCTCACTTGTAGAAGGGGACATATCTTACAGAAGCTTAGGACTCAATGAGAGCTAGTGTTGTCAATGCTTTCATTATTAACAATCTAGGCCCACATCCAGCATATGGCCACATTTTGCAGTCATCTCCTCTCCCAAATTCCACACTCCCAGAAAGTGAAGAAAGTGAAAGTCGCTCAGTCGTATCTGATTCTTTGTGACCCCATGGACTATATAGTCCATGGAATTCTCCAGGCCAGAATACTGGAGTGGGTAGCCTTTCCCTTTTCCAGGAGATCTTCCCAACCCAGGGATCGAACCCAGGCCTCCCTCATTGCAGGCGGATTCTTTACCAACTGAGCCACAAGCGAAGCCCAAGAATACTGGAATCTCTTCTCCAGCAGATCCTCCCGACTCAGGAATCTAGCTGGGGTCTCCTACTTCACAGGCGGATTCTTTACCAACTGAGCAACAGGGAAGCTTCCACACTCCCAGTCCCCACCCTTTTTCCCTAGCAGCTCTTGCACACAGCATCCTTCCTGTCTCCCTGATTCTCCAGGTGCTGTTTCCTTTACCGGAATATCCTCCCCACCTCATTTGCTTACCAAACTCTGAAGCATCCTCCAAAGCTCAGGACTTCCCTGCTGGTCCAGTGATGAAGACTGCCAGTGTAGGGGACACAAGTTCAATCCCTGGTCCAGGAAGATGCCACATGCCTCAGAACATCTAAGCCTAAGTGCCACGACTCTTGAACCCCAGTGCTGCAACTAATGAAGCCTGAGTACCTACTGCCCACGCTCCACAAGAAAAGCCACTGCAATGAGAAGCCTGTGCCACACAATGAAAAGCAACCCCTGCTTGCTGCAACTGGAGCAACAGTGAAGATCCAGCACAACCAAAATAAAATAATCATTCATTTTTTAAAAATAATACAAGCACATCCTCTATGAAATTTTTTTTAAAAGCTATAAAATAGGGAAATCTAAATTATTGGACGGAAAGTTAGAGACTGTTGAATCTTGCTGAGGTACAATTCTGAAACTCTTCATGCATATAAACTCTACCTGGCTTGGGACCAACCTCAGATAACGAAGAACCATAATAACCTCAGATATGCAGATGACACCACCCTTATCGCAGAAAGGGAAGAAAAACTAAAGAGCCTCTTGATGAAAGTGAAAGAGGAGAGTGAAAAAGTTGGCTTAAAGCTCAACATTCAGAAAACTAAGACTCGATGGACATGGGTTTGGGTGGACTCCGGGAGTTGGTGATAGAAAAGGAGGCTTGGTGTACTGTAGTTCATGGGGGTCGCAAAGAGTCAGACACGACTGAGCGACTGAACTGAAACTGATAATTTACATACACGTACCTACTTAGGTGCATTAAACCTCAACAGCTTCCATGAAAGAATTTACTTTTTTAAAAATTAACTTATTTTCATCTTTGGTTGTGCTGGGTCTTCTTGCGGTATGTGGGCCTTCCATTTCAGTGGCTTCTCTTGTTGAGGAGCCCAGGCTCTAGGCACACAGGCTCAGTAGTTATGGCGCACAGTCTTAGTTGCTCCAGAGAATGAGGAATCTTCCTTGACCAGTAATTGAATGTGCGTCCCCTGAGTCAGCAGGCAGACTCTCATCCTCTGTACCAGCAGGGAAGTCTGACAATTTATTTCCTTTTGAACTTTTTGTATTGGAGTATGGCCAATTAACAATATTGTGATAGTTTCAGGTGAGCAGCAAAGGGGAAGAATTTACTTTTAAGAGGAGAAATTATGTACTTTTAAAGTCATATGTAGGAGAAGGCGATGGCACCCCACTCCAGTACTCTTGCCTGGAAAATCCCATGGATGGAGGAGCCTGGTAGGCTGTAGTCCATAGGGTCGCTAAGAGTCAGACACGACTGAGCAACTTCACTTTCACTTTTCACTTTCATGTATTGGAGAAGGAAATGGCAACCCACTTCACTGTTCTTGCCTGTTTGAGAATCCCAGGGATGGCGGAGCCTGGTGGGCTGCCATCTATGGAGTCGCACAGAGTCGGACACGACTGACGCAACTTAGCAACAGCAGCAAAGTCATACGTATTTGTATTCATACCAGCTGTCCTGCAGTATTATAAACCCACCATGAAAGCAACAATGTTCTGATTTGATACTTAAAATTATATTTTTAGAATGAAAACTATCAAGAGAGTAACATGTGACTTCAACAAAAGTATGATTTTTATTGTATTACAGGCCACTAGCTTGGTTTGGCAAAATTTTGTAACTTTATTTGTACTTCCAAAAGTCCTTATTTAGTACATTGTCCCTATGAGCTGGATGGGCTTCCCTGGTGTCTCAGGAGTAAAGAATCTGCCTGCCAATACAGGAGATTCAGGTTCGATCCCTGGGTCGGGAAGATCCACTGGAGAAGGAAATGGCAACCCACTTCAGTATTTTCGCCTGGGAAGTCCGTGAACAGGGGAGCCTGGTGGGCTGCAGTTCCTGGGGTCACAAGAGTCAGACACAGCTTAGTGACTAACCCACCACACTGTGGGCTGGAGAAGTTAGCTGAAAAGGCAAAGTCATTACCTGAGTTTTGTAGCGCTGCAAACTTCCACCGAAGGATGGCTGTTCTCATCTTTCAGCATCTCACATTTCCTTAGCTTAAAAAATTGTAAGTGTCAAAACCATGCTTTTGTGATTTCTAACACATGGTATATCAGGCTGTTGGAATATAATTATTTTTAGACTTGTGACCATAAAAGACCTTTTTTACATGAAGAACTGTACATTATTTGAAATTACCCAAATGATGTCTTGATTTGAGGCACAAATCCTAGGTACTTGTAGCTTTTAGTAATATGGTGCCACTGTGAGAAGAGGGGTGGGGAGAAAAATGATTAATATAAAGTAATTATTAAGTGAATTTCACCACAGTTTATATTTATGGGAAATCTTTATATTGGATGCCAAAGGGCAGGTGCAATCTGGAAAACAATCTAGCAAATATATTTTGTTACATGTTTTGTATCAGATAATTATCAACCACTACAAACTCTGGTGGCTCAGATAGTAAAGAATCAGTCTGCCAATGCAGGAGATTCAGGTTTGATCCCTGCGCTGGGAAGATCCCCTGGAGTAGGTAATGGCAACCCACTCCAGTATTCTTGCCTGGAGAATTCCATGGATAGAGGAGCCTGGTGGGCTACAGTTCATGAGGTTGAAAAGAGTTGGACAAGACTGAAGTGACTCAGCATGCACACACAACTGAAAAATCAACCCTTCTAAGATCTATAAGAGAGGAGGAAATAAGGGCAATATGCCACCTGAAAGACTAGAGAGACAGAGGCAAATACAAAGAACAACAATTTACCTGAGCAGAAACCCACAAATGAAAACTGCCCTGGGAACCAGTGCTACTTAAGAAAATCTGAACTACAACTGAGGCTTCCCTGGTGGCTCAGGGACTTTTCTGGTAACCCAGTTGGTGAAGAATCCGCCCGCAATGCAGGAAACCCTTGCTCAATCCCTAGGTCAGGAAGATCCGGTAGAGAAGGGATAGGCTACCCACTCCAGTATTCTTGTGGCTCAGCTGGTGAAGAATCCGCCTGCAGTGCGGGAGACCTGGGTTAGATCCCTGGGTTGGGAAGATCCCCTGGAGAGAAATGTCTACCCACTCCAGTGTTCTGGCCTGGAGAATTCCATGGACTATGCATGGGGCCGCAGAGTAGGACACGACTGAGCGATTTCCACTTCCACTGGTGGCTCGGGGGGTAAAAAGATCTGCCTGCAGTGCAGGAGATCCAGGTTAGTGCGGACAACTCGGGGGGTTAAAAACTCTAGGAGCACTGGCTTGCAAAGAACCCCCTGCCCCCCACCAATTCTATGAGTTTTACCTCCAGGAGTTTGATGAGGTTCCCACAGTACCAAAGAAAATTCCGCTTGTTCTTCCAGCAGGAAGAGAAGAAGAAATACACTTAGAGCATTCTGCTCTCAACAAAACCAACCTAGCAGGCAGAGGATTTGTCAGAGCCTAACTGACCTGGGGGAAGGGAAAGATCCAACTCCTGCAGTTCTAGCCACCCGCTCCAATCTAAACAGGGAGGAAAAAAAAAAAAAAAACTAGTGGAAAAAAAAAAGGAAAACACTTGTGAAGTTCACAGTTCAGTGGCAGATCAGTAAAAGATTTGGACCTAACCCCAGGACTATACAACAATGCCTCCTGCCACACCTCACCACCATTTACTAAAAACCTATTTACAACAGTTCTTTTAACATAGTACATTCTGTCCCACTATCAAGAACAATTTACAGGGAGGTCCCTGGTCCAGTGGTGAGAACTCTGCTCTTCCACTGCGATGGGCACGAATTCAATTCTGGTCAGGCAGCTCAGATCGCCCATGTCCCCCTCTGCAGCCAAAAAAATAACAAAACCAACAAACAACAACAGCAAAACCCAAGGCATACCATGAGGTGAAACCACAATTTGAAGAGAGAGCAGGCATTAGATCTAGCTATGGGAGGGTTTTCAGACCAGGAAGGTAAGCACTATAATTACTATGCTGAGAGCTCTAATGGATAAAGCAGAAGGCCTGCAAAAAAAGATACACAGTAAGCAGAGACTTGGAAATCCTAAGAGAAAACCAGGAAAAAAAAAAAAGAAGAAGCAGCTAGAGATAAAATACATTGTAACAGACGTAAATGCCTCTAATGGGCTTACTGGATTTCCTTGATGGCTCAGCAGGTGAAGAATTTGTCTGCAATGCAAAAGACACAGGGTTGGACCCTAACCCTGGGTTGGGAGGATCCCCTGGAAAAGGAAATGGCACCCGCTCCTGTATTCTTGCCTGAAAAATCCCATGGACAGAGGAGCCTGATGGGCTACAGTCCATGGGGTTACAAAGAATCAGACATGACTGAGCAACTAAGCACGCAAGCAATGGGTTTACTAGTAGGCTAGACATGACTGAGAAAAGAATTTGAGCTTGAGGATATCTCAAGACAAACTACCAAAGCTAAAAGCAAAAGGAACAAAGACTGAAAAACAAAACAGTGAGCCCAAGGACTGAGGGACAACCACAAAGCTGTAACATAGGCATACTAGGAGTACAAGAAAGAAAGAAAAGGATGGAAGAAATATTTGAAACAGAAATAACAGAGAATTTCCCCAAATTATGTCAGACACCAAATTGCAGGCCCGGGCAGCTCAGAGACCACCAAGCAGGATAAATGTCCCCAAGCTACAACTAGGCATGTGCACGTGTGTGTGCGTGTGTGTGCGTGTGCTCAGTCTGTCTGACTCTTTGGGACCCCACAGACTGTAGCCCGCCAGGCTCCTCTTCCATGGGATTTTTCGGGCAAGAATTCTGGAGTGGTTGCCATTTCCTCCTCCAAGGGATTCTTCCCAACCCAGGGATTGAACCTGAGTCTCCTGCATCTCCTGCATTGGCAGGCGAATTCCTTACCACTACAACTAGGTAAGGGAGGCCCCAAAACCACAGCTACAACTACAACTGGGAAGCCCTACAACTAGGCAGAGCATGTTCAAATTGCAGAAAAACAAAGATAAACTCCTGAAAGGAGACAAATGAAACACTTAATTCGCTGTGTCCTACTTAAAGTGAGAAACTCAAAGCTCTCCCATTCAGATAAGATACAGGGCAAGGATGTCCACTGTCACCACTTCTTTTCAGCATCATTCTGGAAGTCCTTGCTAATGCATTAAGGACAGAAAGGAAAATAAAATGTGAATAGATTGTGAAGGGAGAAATAAAACTGACTTGTTTAGTTCAGTTCAGTAGCTCAGTTGTGTCCGCCTCTTTGCGACCCTACAAACTGCAGCACACCAGGCCTCCCTGTCCATCACCAACTCCCAGAGTTCATCCAAACCCATGTCCATTGAGTCGGTGATGCCAACCAACCATCTCATCCTCTGTCATCCCTTTCTACTCCTGCCCTCAATCTTTCCTAGCATCAGGGTCTTTTCACATGAGTCAGCTCTTCACATCAGGTGGCCAAAGTATTGGAGTTTCAGCTTCAACATTAGCCCTTCCAATGAATGTTCAGGTCTGATTTCCTTTAGAATGGACTGGTTAACTTTTTTAGACAGGTGAAATTATAATCCATGTAGAAAATCCAAAGTAATTGAAAAAAAACAGAATAAGTGATTTTAGCAAGGTAACAGCACGTAAGTTAATTAATTATTGACATTATTGACTGAGGTATTTTTGCAGAAACCAATGCCTATGGCCTGTGATTTCTTATGTAAGTGAATATTGAAACATCTCTGATAAATAATGTTCAAGGTAAAAAAAAATGTATTAATATATCTCTGGTCAGTAATGTGTTAATATACAAAAGTCAACTGCTTTCCTATACACCACCAATGAAAACATGGAATTTGAATTATAAATACAACAGCATTTACATTGTTCATGTTTAGTCACTAAGTCATGTCCAACTCTTTTGTGACCCTATGGACTGTAGCCTACCAGATTCCTCTGTCCATGGGATTATCCAGGCAAGAATACTGGAGTGGGTTGCTATTTCTTTCTCCAGGGGGTCACCCCAACCCAGGGATCAAACCTGTGTCACCTGCATTTCAGGCAGATTCTTTACCACTGAGTCACCAGCGAAGCTCAGCATTTACATAAGCACCCCACAAATGAAATGCTTACATATAAATCTAACAAAACATGTACAAGATTAATACAAAGACAACTACAAAACTTTGACAAGAGATACCAAAGAAGAACAAAATAAATGGAGAGACATTCCATTTTCACGGACAGGAAGACTCATAGTATCAAAGTGTCTGTTCTTCTCACCTTAAGCTATGGAATCAAGCCACAAAATAATTTTCTGGCTATTGACAAACTGACTGTAAAGTTTATACGGAGAACGAAAAGACCCAGAGTAGCCAACTCAATATTGAAGAAGAAGAACAAAGTCAGAAGACTGATGTTACCCAACTTCAAGACTTATAAAGCTCTTCAAGACAGTGTGGTATTGGTGAAAGAACAGACAAGTAGATCTATGGAACAGAATATAGAGCCCAGTTGCAGATCCCCATAGATGATATGACCCCAGTCTACTGATCACTGATAAAGTCAAAATAATCTCTTCCGCAAATGATGCTGGAACAACTGAACAACCACATCCATTAAAGAAACAATGAAGATAGACACACCTTATACCCTTAACAAAAATGAACTAAAAATGGATCAGAGATATAAATGTAAAATGCCAGAACTATGAGACTCCTGGTGATAACATAGGAGAAAACCTAGATGACCTTGGGTGTGCCTATACTTTGTAGATACAACACCAAAATCAGGATCCATGAAGAAAATAATTGATAAGCTAGATTTTATTAAAATTAGAAACTTGTGTTTTGTGAAAGATAATTTCAAGATAATCAGAAGAGAAGCTACAGCTTGGAACAAATATTTGCAAAATAGATACCTTACAAAGGACTGTTATCCAAAACATACAAAGAACTCATGACTCTCAACATTAAGAAAACAAACAACCCAAAAACCCAAAACATACAAAAAAACACTTAAAACTTAACATTAAGAAAATGAACTACACTTCACCGAAATAGATATATAGCCTGTAAATTAGTATATGAAGAAATGCTCCATATCATGTCATCAAAAAAATACAAATTAAAACAATAATGAGATACTCTTATACACCTATAAGAGTGGCCAAAATCTGGAACACTGACAGCACCAAATGGTACTGCTACTTTGGAAAACCATTTGGTGGTTTCTCATAAAATTAAATATACTTTTACAGTCGGATCCAGCAACGGTGCCCTAGATATTTATCCAAATGAACTGAAAACTTATATTTACATAAAAACCTGCACATGGATGTCTACAGCAGCTTTATTCATAATTGCCTAAACTTGGAAGCAACCAAAATGCCCTTCAGTGGGTGAATGGATAACTAAACTGTGGAACATGCAGACAACAGAATATTAATCAGTGCTAAAAAGAAATGAAAGTTGCTGAGTTGTGTCTGACTCTTTGGAACCCTATGGACTATACAGTCCATCGTGGAGTGGGTAGCCTTTCCTTTCTCCAGGGGATCTTCCCAACCCAGGAATCG